ATATAGACTCACTGTGCCAAAAAGAATTGGTTGATGTTCAACTGCACTGAAGGCTTTGGTGAAAAAGAAGGCTCCAGAAATTGACTGAATACTAACTGAGATGTTTCAACAAACAAATGCAACGCCAGAAGCACTCACTTGTCTATGCCAACAAAGATGGAAGACAGCTACTTGGCCAAAAGACTAGAAGACATCCATATACGTGCCTATTCCAAATAAAGGTGATCCAATAGAATGCAGAAATTATCGAACAATATCATTAGTATCACACGCAAGTAAAATTTTTCTGAAGATAATTCAAAAACGGTTGCAGCAGTACATCAACAGGGAACTGCCAGAAATTCAAGCTGGATTCAGAAGAGGACGTGGAACAAGGGATATTGTTGCTGATGTCAGATAGATCTTGGCTAAAAACAGAAAACATGAGAAAGATGTTTACCTGTGTTTTATTGGCTATGCAAAGGCATTCCACTGTGTGGATCATAACAAATTATGTATAACATTGAAAAGAATGGGAATTCCAGAACACTTAATTGTGCTCATGCAGAACCTGTACATAGACCAAGAGGCAGTCGTTCGAACAGAAGAAGGGCATACTGTGTGGTTTAAAGTCAGGGAAGGTGTGAGTCAGGGTTGTAACCTTTCACCATACTTATTTAATCTGTATGCTGAGCAAATAATCTGAGAAGCTGTACTATATGAAGAACACAACATTAGGATCGGAGGAAAACTCATTACCAATCTGCGATATGCAGATGACACAACCTTGCTTGCTGAAAGTGAAGAGGACTTGAAGCACTTACTGATGAAGATCAAAGATTATACAGGCTTCAATATGGATTACACCTTAACATAAAGAAAACAAAAATCCTCACAACTAAATCAGTAAATGATAAATGGAGAAAATATTGAAGTTGTCAAGGATTTCATTTTACTTGGATCCACAATCAATGCCCATGGAAGCAGCAGCCAAGAAATCAGACACATTGCATTGGGCAAATTTGCTGCAAAAGACCTCTTTAAGTGTTAAAAAGCAAAGATGTTACTTTGAGGACTAAGGTATGCCTGATCCAAGCCACGGTGTTTTCAATCTCCTCATATGCATGTGAAAGCTGGACAACGAACAAGAAGACTGAAGAAGATGACTGAATTATGGTGCTGGCAAAGAATATTGAATATTCCATGGACTGCCAGAAGAATGAACAAATCTGTAGTCAGAATGCTCTTTAGAAGCTAGGATGGTGAGACTTGGTCTTATACTTTGGATGTGTTACCAGGAGGGGCCAGTCCCTGGAGAAGGACATCATGCTTGGTAAAGCAGAGGGTCAGAGAAAAAGAGGAAGACCCTCAATGAGATGGATTGACATAGTGGCTACAACAATGGGCTCATGCATAGCCAAGGATTGTGTGGCATGGTGCAGGACCTGGCAGTGTTTCATTTTGTTGTACATAGGGTCTCCGTGAGTACTAACCAACTCAATGGCACTTAACAACAACAACATCCTGTATGACCTCCAAGGGTCTTTTCTTTCCTAACTCTGGGAAATTATAAAATCTCAGGCCAGCTCTGCCTTCCTCCTACCAGCTTTACCCCAGGCAGCCCAGGAAGCTTTAGGATAGCTTCCTGGTCCCAGGTGGCTCCGTTTCCTCAGAACTCACCCCTATTTTTGCAACCAGCCCCTACCCCTGCCTTTTGGTTAATTCTTTCTCAAGAAAACCCCTCAAGGCTTTCTCCTCTACCTTTAGTCCAAACAACTGCAACAGCTTCCTGGCTAGTCCCCTCCAGCGTGCTTCCAAATCCACTCTCCACAGTGGCAGCTGGAGCGAGCCTTCTAAATGCGAACATATTCACATCAATCCGTCACCTAGTGGTTTTCAAACTTCTTGTGTATATGCTTGTTTCTAGCAGCAAATTCCTCGTTAGATGGAATCTTTCTAGGAGTCCTAAAATGTCCAGCAGTTAAAGATGTTGATCAGGATGAAGAGGAAGGGAAGCCTAAGCCAGCCTCCTGGACCTCCCACAATATGCTCTTCTCCCCCCACCCCCCAGTACACACATGGCAGCCTCCAAGGCATAGGCACTCGACCAAGGGCTCCATGTACCCTCATGGAGAGCCAGGATGAAGCCCCCGCTGCTTAGTCTGAGGCCTGCCCACCCCCCAGTTCACTTTCTGCTCATTTCTGGCAACTTTCTCCTAATCTTGTACTTTGTGCTTTAGCCACATAGATGCACTAACTTCTTTATGCCTCTGGGCCTTTGCAGATGCTGTTCCCTTTCCTTAGTCACGCTCATCTCTGTCTCCACAGGACTTAGGGAGACAGCTTAGGTCACAGTTAAAAGCGCAGGCTTAGATGAACTTGGTTGAAATCCTAGTACTATCATTACTAGCTATGTGACCTTGAGTAAATTGCTGAAACCCTCTAAGCCTTAGTTTCCTCATCTGGGATTAAATATCGCAAATAAAGTACCTGACACAGAGTAGGCCTATTCTTTCTTCTTCAGGCTTGTTGGGAAGATACAGTGAACTCATCCGTGTAAGTTGCTCAGCACAGCCCCTAGGAAGCATCTATTACAACCCTCGCTACACTGGAGCCTAAGAATCTATTGCCCCGGCTACACCATGAGCTCCTCACCGTTTGTCAAATCCTATTGTGTGCCTGGAAACCCTGGTGGTGTAGTGGTGAGTTATGGCTGCTAACCAAAAGGTCAGCAGTTTGAAACCCTGTGGGGCAGTTCTACTCTGTCCTATAGGGTCACTACGAGCTGGAATCAACTCGATGGCAGCCATTTTTTTTTTTTTTTTTATCGTGTGCCCAGCGCTGTACTAGGCTCTGGAGATTAAGCAGGCGTGGTTACTTAGCTTAGAGGGGTGGAGGGTTGCATCTATTGGGTGGGGCCAAGCCCCACCACAGACACATGGAGTAAGAAGATCCCTTCCAGACTGCTTGGTGATATCCTCTCTCCTTTACCCTCATATCCAGTCACCCAGTTCGGCTGAGAGCAACACCTAAACTTCTTTCAAATTTATCCCTTCTCGGCACTTCCACTGATGACCTGGCAAGTTGCTGTTGAGTCGATTCCGACTCATAGCAACCCTGTAGGATACGGTAGAACTGCCCCGTAGGGTTTCCAAGCGCATGCTCTTTACGGAAGCAGTCTGCCCATCTTTCTCCTGCAGAATGGCTGGTGGATTCGAACTGCCAACCTTTCAGTTAGTAGCCAAGTGCTTAACCACTGCGCTACGAGGGATCCTTCCTCCACTTCCACTTCCACTACCACCACCTTAATTCAGCAGTGGTTAATTCAGGTAGCAGCCTTTTAATTAATGTTTTCACAATTGCCTTCCCTCCTCCCACTCCAGTCTATCTGTTCTCCACACTGCCTTGCCAGAGTGATCTTTTCAAAATTGCAAATCTGACCATGTTACGCTGCTGCTAAAAAGTCCTTCAATGGCTCCTGTTATTTTCAGATAAAGACCATTCTTTGCTAGGACCTAGAAGGCCCTGCACGACCTGGCCCAACTTACCTCACTACACTGTCTTAGGGCTTGTATACATGAAGCTCCTTCTCCTAAAAGAGATCCTCAACCCTCTTTACCTGTACCCCTCTAATCCCAGCTTAAACAGAACTTCTCATCCCCACCTGGGTCAGCCCCCACATGCGCCGTGAACCTCTCCTTTGCAGCCTTGTCACAGTGGCAGTTTTACATTGATCAGATCACAGCACTGCCCCATGTCTGCTTTCATTCATCATTGTACCCACTGCCTAGCATAGGTACAGACAGTGCTTAATGAACAAGCCCCTCAATATGTAGATAGGACAGCACGACGCAGATGAAGCCACTTAACCTGTCACACAGCTGATCACAAACTGAGGTCTTTTGACTCTTTACCCCAGCTCTTTCCATTAAACCACCCCAATTCCACTGTCTCCTTCTGTCCTCAAGAGAGGACTCAAAACTGATTCTGGATTCCTTCTTGGCTGCCCAGCAAGGTCAGTGACCCACTCCTACTACTGGAACTCAGCTGGAGGCCTCTTGCTGTTTGATATCACCAACAGAACATCCTCTAAGAGCATCACCTAGTGGCATCAGGAGGTTCTGGAAAAAGTGAAACCCTTCCATGTCCTCTTCTTCATGGTAGTCCACAAGAGTGACCAGGTGGCTGAACATTAGGTGATACAGAGGATGGAAGACGCTGGCTGCCTCCTTGGGGCTCGCTATGTTGAGGCCTCCGCCAGAGCAACAGTAACATCAGTGCACTCTTTTGAGATGCTCACCCAAGAGTTCTATGAGGCTGTGAAGAGAGGGGTCATGGGGCCAAACTCAGAGAGGGAGGGAGTGAAAGGGTCCCTCTCAGACCAAGCCTCAGGAGGCATAGGACCAAGGCAGGGCAAGGTGGATGTGACTGAGCTGGTGACCCCTGGGCAGATAAGTCACCCTTCCCGAGGTCCATGGTACCCTCACAATGCAGAAGGGCCAACCCGGGTACAGGACAAGATGAAGCTGGATGTCATTGAATGACATGGCTTTGAGGTCTGGAAGGGGCTCAGTTTCCTCTGCAGGATGGTGAAAAAGGTGTAAATACAGGGGTCAGGGATACCGAGAATTAAGAAGACAGGCACCTGCATAGACAGCCCTTACCCCAAGGCTACCGCCATTCTTTTTCAGGGCCAAGAATGAACACAACTTTCTTCAGGAGTTCCAGGAAGAGTAGGTCAAAAAAGCTCTTAAGCACGTAACATTGCTAGAAACAGGATGCCTCTTCAGTCTGGGGCTCATGACAGCAGGTCACCACTGCCCAATTCTTACGGCACAGAAACAGGGCTCAAACTCCTATTGATGGTATGGCCTCCCTTGGAGTAAAATAATGGAAATTCCCTGAGTTTTCTCGAGCACAGAAATGAGTAACAGTGCTGCCACCTGCTGACTAGAGAGCTCCACCCAACCTTGTGGCTATCCTCTGGCATTCCAAAGGCTGTAAGCCACACATCCTGTGTCTTTCGATTAATAACTTCTTTATTCTGTAAAAGCAAATGAAAGTCATATTCATATAAACACTGACATTACAAAGTACAGGGAAAGGCGAGGGGAAAAGGAAACAAAAACCTCTACACACCTTGCTAATACTGTCTCACCAAACAAGACCATAATGCTTTGTCCCATATTCAATCACTTATATAATAAACCACAAATAAAATCTTCTCTGGAAGATACACTGCTCCTCTTTGAGACAGCAGGGAAGAGGGACTGGAAGTTGGGGTAGGAGGCTTTATTCTTTTGGCAGATCCTCTCAGTCATTATAGATATTGCTGCACTGTTAATAAAAAATATATGCTTCTCTGTAAAGCATTAAAAAAAAATTCCATGGATGAGATGGCTGAGGCCTCAGCCCAAGTATCTCCAAATGCATTGTTGTCCATTCCCTGATCTTTCCGTGTGTTATTTCTTGGTTGTTTTCCGGATTAATGCCATTCTCTGAAAGGAGAGAGAAATAAGCCAATTACACAGCTTAGAGTCAGGAGCCTGAGGTCTGGACATCGACATGTGGGGAGCAGGCAGCACAGTGTGTATTGCAGGCTGCAGCCCTCGTGGGCCTGGCAGTCAGAGGGCAGCTCAGCAGGCTCCTTCAGACCTGAGAGTCGTCCGCAGGGCTCCAAAGATGTTAGATGGGCCAGTGGACCCGTTCCATTGACCACAAGACCCAAGCTGCTCTAGGCTAGCAGGACGGCAAAAAAGTTAAAAGCAGGAGACGATGACAGCCTTGCCTTTTAGGGATTCAGGAAGACAGGCCATCAAACGTGTTTTCTAGACTCCCTCCCACCCCAGTCTCCTCCTTCTCTGATGATGGAGGAAACAGGGTAGGGGGCTCTACCTGAAAACTGCTGCCAGCAAAAAGGGCGCTGACATTTCACACCTGACCTACAGTGACAGGAAACTGAAGACTAACACTTTCTAGCACCACCCATCAGGGAAACATTCAGATCACGGGTTTCAAATTTTACTGTTACCAGTCACTGGCCAAATTACTAACTTGCTCTGCTCACTCTTTTTGACCAAGAGACTGTCTCAACATTATATTTTTGACTAAATAAATACATAAGGCTAAAAAGTGGATAATTTGGGAGCAGAGCCAAAATGCCAGTCTGGAGGGCCTGACTTCCTTCTGAAGGGCACCACAGTTCTTCGATTCAGGCTACTGGCGGTTTCTGGTAGGGCTTCATCTGTGAGCTCTGTAAACCTACCCACTTCAGAGATACCAAAACCAAACCAGTGCCGTTGAGTCGATTCCAACTCATAGTGACCCTACAGGACAGAGCAGAACTGCCCCACAGAGTTTCCAAGGCTGCAATCTTTATGGAAGCAGACGGCCACATCTTTCTCCAATGGAATGGCTGGTGGGTTCAAACCCCTGACCTTTTGCTTAGCAGTCAAGCGCTTAACCATTGCGCCACCAGGGCTCCTCCAGAGATACCAGGCTACAGAAAAAGCTCACTTTTCAAATCAGAATGGCCAGTTAAATCAGGACAGAAAACAGCCTTGTCAATGGGATGCCAACACTGCTGCTGGGCTGACCAATAACAGGGATGACTGTTCCACAGCAGAAGTGGTGTTAGCTTCTCACACTAGCCTCTAGGACCCTTGTTAAGAGGTGCAGAGACACTTGATTGTATACTTAAACATGGTTAAAATGGCAAATGTTATATATATATTTTACTACAATAAAAAAAAGAAAGAGGGGCAGAAAACAGAGGTTAAGCTGGGACAGAGACCAGAATGCCTGGCAGAGCAGCCTGGGTGCTACCTACCATCACAAGAATAGTTTGTATTCTGCTTTCCTTAACCTGCCCTCTATTCATAGGGCCATATATGGTGTTCAAATCAGCAACAGTGAAGGAAGATTTCAGTAAGGAGGGGTGGAGGGGGTGAGCTCCACCCATGTTAGAAACTACAATTAATAGCTTTAAGTGATGCTCATCAGAGTTGAGAGAAAAAAAAGACCCATGTGACAACAGTACAGCACCAAGGAAATAGCTAGTGATTTCCCATGGACCTCTGCTGCCTCCTACTCTCTCTGACCTTTAGTACAGAGAGTGTGGCTTTCTGTGTGGGGGGAGGGACAACTGCGGTGGATAAGTGCCCCTAGAAGGTAGCTGTGTATACCCGCTTCTGAGACACCGCTCAGCCCCTCACCTGTTTGTGAGCTTCTGTGGTGCAAGCTTTTTTGTAGGGTCGGATTTCTTCAGAGCCAAATCCCGGGATCCACATGTTCCACTGGCGCTCTGCGAGGAAGAGGGCAGCACAGAGGAAAGGGGACCAGAAGCCAGCGTCAGTGCAATGTGACCATCAGGCAAGGCGCGAGGAGGACTAGGTGGGGCAGTCACCTGTACTAATACTGACCATACAGAAGGAGCTTAAGGGGAAATTGTACATACTTCCTCCTAAGTTTTAAAGGATACAAATAACTTGAGCTTCTTGTAAAGAAAAAAGTGGTAAGTTAATCAAAGCTGTGAGTGCTGAACCCTGAGGTTTTCATGTGGCTCATCTATTCCACAGAAAACAAAATTTGTTTGTTTCTTTAACTGTCCTACTCCCGTGCTCAAAACAACCCCTCTCAAAGGAAGACGAGGAACAGAAAGGCATTTCTAGCACTCTGGAGCTAAGAGCCGAGTTCCAGTTCTGCTGCTTCACTGTGGAGCTGTGACCTTGGGTCTCAGTTTCTTCACCTTTCACATGGTAATAACAACAGTACCTACCTCATAGGGTGGTTGACAGAATTCAGTGACATAATGTATGCAAAGTGTTTAGCCCAGGGCCTGGGATATATTCAAATAAGGATATAGCTACAGGTATGTCCACACCACATCTCCATGCCCTTGTGCCACTGAATAGTATCATCCTGTAAGACTGTCATTAGAGTTCCCAAAGGGCAGGGACTTCATTTATTTCACTCTGTCAGTAACTGGCATAGTTACATGATCCCCTAAATTCACAAATAAATAAAGGTATACTGCACTTAAAGCAAACCCAATATAAAAAACATATACTTACACAAGGTATTTAGGGAATAAGTCACTATTCAAAAGGATTTACTTGAGGACTAATTTATCACACTCCCCCAGCACACTGAAAATAGGAAATGTTTTGCAAAACTTATTTTATCCCAGGCAGGCACTTAAATCAAATGGAGTATTAGTGGTTTCACAGTTATGCGTTGGATTTAATGCAAAGTAAATATTGTGTGAATGAATGATTTGTTTAGCTCTAGAATAATTTGATATGCAGCTCTCCTCCAATAGTTTTGTGAAAACCAAAATGTTTTAGTTTGAATTGGCTCACCGTGTGCTCTTGGGAGAAAATGTCTGAAACCTTCTGCAACAATATTTGTTGTCAGTACTTGAAGGTAGCACTAAGATTATTCTCTGGGAATTAAACTTTGCAATCAACACAAAGTGGACCATGGTACTGATATACAAAGTTACTTTAAAGAAAGAGGGCTACCAGGCATGATGCATACATGTATGTACGTATGTGTATGTAAGCATGTGTATCTATGTGCGATATATTTATAACAAGAAAATAGTAGCCACAATCATTTAATGAATAAAATGCTTAATAAAATGACTGTTACAAACTAACACTGTGCAAATCACACTACCTACATTATCTCATTTAATTTTAACATTCTTAAAGAAAGACTGTCAGTCAGAAGGGGAGATTATTCAGCCATGCAAATACAGAAAATGGGTCAGAAGCAAACACTGGAGAACCCGTCCAGGAGAAAGTCGTCAAGCGTTTACAGCCCATTAGCAAATCTACCCTTATTGAAGGGTGTGGTCCGATGCCATCTAACACCAAAAATCTGTTGCTGTTGAGTTGATTTCAACTCATGGCAACTCCGCGTGTGCAGAGTAAAACTACACTCCACAGTTTTCAAGGCTGTGACCTCTCAGAAGCAGATCACCTAGCCTTTCCAGGTACCTCTGGGGGGTTCAAACTGCCAACCTTTTGGTTAATAGTTGAGCACTTAACTGACTGTGCCACCCGGGGACTCCTTCATCTAACAGCAGGTTCCCTAATTCCCTGTGTTGTGATCCCATGCTCTTCAAGCAATCTTCTGGTTATGACTTAGCTTCCATTAGGCCTGCTACGGAAACTTCTGGTCATGCAGACTTCCGAGTATTCTAATCTCTGTGATAATTATTTCTTACCCTTAATGAATAAACTGGCATTCTGGTTTTATGTTCAGTAATTAAAGTATAAAATAGGAAAGCTAAACTCTCAGAGTAATATAATCTGTTGCGGTGGCTCTAAAACATGTTCGCAAATTGTTTAAAACTCCTCCCATTGACAGGTGGGGTCTATGTTTCCTCCCTTTGAACCTGGACAGGTCTTTGTGACTACCTCAAAGAAGAGAATTTAGCAGAAGTGACACTGTGTGATTTCAGAGGCTGGGTTAGAAAAGGCCACACAGCTTCTGCCAGTGGCTCACGGGACTCTCATTCAGGGAGCCTTCAGTTTTCATGTAGAAAATCCAGCTACCGTGGGGCTGACATATGATAAGACCAGAGAAAGAGAGGCCTGCAGAGTCCCCAGATGTTTAAGCGCTCCCAGCACAGGCATCAGCTGTGGAAGTGATGAAGCCTTCCTTTAAAATGATCTCAGCCCCAGCTACCACCTGACTTTAACCATATGAGAGACCCCTAGCAAGATCTGCCTAGCTAAGCAGTCAACCCCCAGATTCATGAATAAAATAAATGACTGTTATCATTTTAAACCAATGTTTTAGAGTAGCTTATTACACAATAATAGATAACCAGAGTATTTGTCCTCTGCTATTAGTACCAGCAACATTAGCCAGGGGTTTGCTATTTACTTCACCTAGACTATCAGCACCTCCCCAAGCTGAGGGAAGCCTTTCAGGAATCAGTCATGGGCTGATCTGCACCAAATCTCTCAATATCTCCTGCCTTGTTCACTTGACCTGTCTGTGCAGTTAAATTCTCTTTCTTTTGATCACATTGTAACCAATGCAGAGGGGGGCTCATTCATTTCCATGTGATTACAGTTAGACAAGTATCTCCCAAAAAACCTCAAGCTCCAATTTAGTGTCTGTTAAGTGAAAAAAGCCAAATACAAAATTATATGTACGCTATGATTATAATTTTTTTTAGAAAAAAATGCATAAATAGGCTAAAAACTGGAAGAGAACAACGAGGAACTGCTTTATTTGAATGGTGGAGACATAATCGTAGCTACATTACTGAGCTCTTCCTGTGTGCCAGGCCCTGTGCCAGTCACTTCACAAACATCATCTGTAATTCTCACAATTACCCTGTCAGGAGGATATTATGATCCCCACTTTACAAATGAGGAAACAGACTCTAAGAGAAATTAAGTAGGAAGGATAAGGTGATACATCTAGAAAGTGGCAGAATTTGATTTGAAGCCCAATGCCTGAGCTCACTCCCCCTGCCACGGAGGGATGTCTCTTCTCTCTCTAATGCTGCCATTGAATGAATACATAGATCTAGAGTCCAAGTCTCCTCCTGGCATGAGGGTTCCCCTGACGACACCTGAAGAAGTTGCAGCGCAGGTACCTCAAGGAGAAACAAGACCACATACCTAGATGCAGCTGGACATCTTTCACCTCCAGGGTGCTGGACTTGCGATGCCTGGCAAGCTGGCAGGCTGCTGTCACCACACTCTCGATAAAATCATCAGCAATCTGCAGCAGCATCTGGCGAGGGCAAAAGTGGTGGAAAATAACCATGACATTGGCAGAGTAGGCTCCTGTTGCCGGGACAACTGTTAACTGTCTGAATCACATATTTAGTCAGGCCTGGAATCTATTAGGCAGCTAGGAATCAACATTTGGGCTAAGGTGGGGAGGAGGAATGAGGAAGACAACAGAAATACATCAACTCTTTAACCAGGTCCAGTTTCTGAGGATGTACTTTTTGTACTTTCTACCCTCCAGTGATCAACTAGTCCAATCCCTGCCCCCACATATTCTTCTGAATCAGGTGGGAAAACAAAAGTGAATCATAATTCCTCACAGTCTCTCTCTCTTTTTAATTCCTCACAATCTCTCAAAGTACTTTCATTTCCATAAACACACTTAGCCCTTACAATGATCCTGTGCAGAACATGGGGCACAGATTTTATCCTCATTCTATAAAGGAGGACGCCAAGACTCAGGGAGACTAACTGCTCACGGCCATATAAATAGTAAGCAATGGAACCAGGATCCAAACTCAAAAAAATCCAAATCCTGGCTTTTTTCACTTCACTATCAATTATTCCCAGACTGTGGGAAGACCAAGATCAGAAGTCTGAAACTAAAAATGTACAGGAAACAACTAAAATTCTGATCAGTCAATACATTCCTCATAGCTTTCTCTGTTGCCCCCAACAAAAATTACAACCATGGATACAGATATTCCTTGCTTTACTGGACCACTGCTCAATGGTATCTTTCCTATGGAGTCCCTGGGTGGTGCAAATGGTTAAGGTGCTTGGTTGCTAATAGAAAGGTTGGAGGTGGTTCGAGTCCACCCAGAGGTGCCTCGGAAAAAAGGCTTGGCAATCTACTTCCAAAAAATCAGCTACTGAAAACCCTATGGAGCATAGTTCTACTCTGATACTCAAGGGGTCGCTGTGAGCTAAAATTGACTTGATGGCAACTAGACTGGTTATCTTTCCTATGGGAACCAAATGGATACCATGTAAAGGAAAGCTATCTGATTAAACGTGGCAGATCAACTTCAAAAATGACCTCCTCTACCTCCTTAAACCCATTAAAATAATAGTAAAGGAAAAACAAAAGACATATAAATCCACAAAGATAATAAGAACAGGAAAGGAAACCTTAACAGACAAGCGATTTCAACAAACTTTTAAAAATAAACTTTTGCTAAACAGATAACAGACAGATAAAGAGTGGGAACCGACCTAGCAGACAGAAGAAGGTACAACACAACTAACTGCCTGTAGAGGGGACACCAATGAGACTGAAATGACTTATCCTTCAAAGCCCCTAAGAGATCTAGGATTTGGAGATACCATTTATCACACAAAATTAGGCTGAAGTATGAAACTAAAAACAGGGGAACTGTTACATATCTATATACAGAGCCGTTCCCCCACCCTTGCACTCCAAAAGCAGCTAGCAGACTTCTCCCCACACATACCTGACCAGAACCCAGCAGGTTTATTCCCCAGAGAAAGTGAATGGGAGTGGCTCTGAATCAGAATACACCAGACACAGCAGAGGCAGGGAGAGGTGCAGGCCCCTTTCTCCTGCCTTGCTTCCAGAATGTTAGAAGCTAGGGATAAACCCTCCAAATAGGAGACTGGAGGATTTTTCTCTGGAGCTACTGAATGACTCTTGGGAAAAAATGTATAGATACTGACATTTAGGGAATCTCCCAATAAGAAGGTTGGTCTGCAGACAAATTATTCTGAAGTGAAGCCAGTGGTATGCTGGAACCACCTGAGATTAGCTCACAAAAACCAATTAAGTGCACCTCTTCCCAATGTATGACGTCAGCTGCAGCTTAAAGTGGGCCAGGGCAGGAAAATCAGAAGTGCCACAAGTTGGGCCTTTTCCTCAGAGAACTGGCTGTTAGACATCTACTAATGACCAACAGTATGTCCTGCTTCAAATTAGCTTTTTAGTGGCTCATTCTTTTAGAATGGATAGCCAGACATTTGAAGAAAGTCTCCAACACTAAAAAGAAAATAAATAAACCAAAAAATGAAACAAAGACAATGCAGGGAAAAGAAGAAAATGTCAAAATATATATATATAATTAATATCCTCAGAGAGATATAAGATATTACAACCATAAAAGAAGAACAGAATGGCTTGGGGAAAAAAGATAAACTAAGGAAAATCCCCCCAGAAAGTGGAACTTATAATTAAAAAGAGATGAAAAACAGGAGAGAAAAGACAAAAAAAAAAAACCTAAGAGGATCAATCCAGAAGACCCAACTGTCATTCCAGAAGGCACCCTGGTGGCACAGTGGTTAAGCGTTTGGCTGCTAACTGTAAGGTCAGTGGTCTGAACCCACCAGCCACTCCACGGGAGAAAGATGTGGCAGTCTGCTTCCATAAAGATTATAGCCTTGGAAACCCTATGGGGCAGTTCTACTCTGTCCTACAGAGTCGCTATGAGTCAGAATTGACTCAACGGCAGTGGATGGGTCATTCCAGAAAGAAGGCAAAAGCAGAGGAGAAGAAATTATCAAAAAAGCAGTATAAGAAATAGGAACACTCATACTTAGCCGGTAGAAATATAAAATGATGCAGTGCTTTGGAAAATAGTCTGGTAGTTTCTCAAAAGGTTAAACATGGTTATCATATGACCCAGAAATTCCACTCATAGGTATACACCCAAGAGAAATGAAAACATATGTCCACACAAAAACTTGAACATGAATGTTCACAGCAACATTATTCATAACAGCCAAAAAGTGGAAACAACCCAAAAGTCTATCAATGGATGACTGAATAAACAAAATGTTGTATATTCCTACAATGCAATAATATTTAGCCATAAAAGGAATATATGTTACAACATGAATGAACTTTGAATAATTATGCTAAGTTACATAAAGCTGTAGATACAGCTAAAATTTTTGAAAGTGATTGCCTATGAGTAGCACACTGTCTTTTTTTTTTTATTGTACTTTTAGATGAAGGTTTACAGAACAAATAGTTTCTCATTAAACAGTTAGTACACATATTGTTTTATGACAATGGTTAACCACCCCACGACATGTCAACACTGTCCCTTCTCAACCTTGGGTTCCCTATTACCAGCTTTCCTGTCCTCTCCTGCCTTCTAGTCCTTTCCTTGGACTGCTGTGCCCCATTAGTCTGGTTTTGTTTTATTGGGCAGTCTAATCTTTGGCTGAACGGTGAACCTCAGGAGTGACTTCATTACAGGGCTAAAAGGGTGTCCAGGGGCCATACCCTCGGGGTTTCTCCAGTCTCAGTCAGGCCAGTAAATCTGGTCTTTTTTTGTGAGCTAGAATTTTGTTCTACATTTTTCTCCAGCTCTGTCCAGGACCCTCTGTTGTGATCCCAGTCAGAGCAGTCAGTGGTAGTAGCTGGGCACCATCTAGTTGTACTGTACTCAGTCTGATGGAGGCCGTGGTAGTTGTACACTCTTTTTGACAGGCAAAAGTAGCAGCAGCTACTAGGTATAAAGTGCTAGATCATTTGTGTAAATTATCCCATGGGATCCTCACAATAACTCTATAGTAAATATTATCACACCCTAACAACACAGGGGGAAGCTGAGGTTCAGAAAGCTTAAGTGGCTTGTCTACAGCCACAAAGCTGGTAAATGGCAGAGCCAAATTCAAATTCAGATTTCTCTGCCAAAAAAGTCTGTGTTTTTAACTGCTATGCTATACCAGCTCTCAGGGACATAGTCTCTCTGGGGTATCCAGCCCCACCTTACCTCCTCCACATCTTCATCCAACTGCTCATTAGGATCCACTTCTCTTACTAAGTCTTGCAATTTCTTCTTCGTCAATACCTAGTTAACCCGAAGATTTTTCAGCCAAGTATTAAGGAAACAAAACAACACATTACCTTATAATGAAGAAAGACTGTCAAATTGTTGAGTTTAGTTTCTACTTTCCAAAGAGTTCAAAGTCTGGTCTACTTGGTGGTATTGCTATAAGACTACATTCTTCAGAAAGAAGTAGCCTGGGGAAACAGCAGTTTGGAAGAGAGGCCAGCATCCAACTGTCAGGAAGTTTTTTTCAGTCTCATTTCTTTTTCTCACTGTGCCTCATCTTCTCCCCATATTAAACAACTTGCAATTCTCTGACCATCACAAATTGTACCATGCCTCTGTTGTCTTCGGACATGCTCTTCCTACCTGCTCAGCTCATGGCAGCTCCTTTCTGATGCCTTTCCTAGCCCACTCAGGTAAAAGCGACCACTCCGGCCTCTATTGTATGCTGTGCACCCTTCTATTACTGTGTGTATTTATAAATTTGCCTGTCTCTGACTTAATAGGCTATAAGCTCCCAGAGGGCAGGAAACATGTGTTCATCTCTGTTATCACTAAATATTTGTGTAAGTATGGATAACTATAATCCTTCTTTCATTAAGGGAATGTCATATAATATATATGTGCCATTAAAAAATTATCAAAAGACAGAGAGTAAATGCTAACCATGGAAGACATATAGTAAATGCTAATCATGGTTAGTTTGGGGGTGGTGGTAGAATTATCTGCTATTTATTCTTTTTATATTTCTAAAGTATCTGCGATAAACATGTATAACTTTAGAAATAAGGAAAAAAGAAAATAATTTTTAAAGTAAATATTTGTTGATGATATTTCCCATCTATTCACTCTTCTTCAGTCTATCATTATTATCTAATTCGAGCCTTTACCACATGCCTTGATTTACTGCAAAAGTCTTAGAACTGGTCTTCCTCCCAGTCTACCTCCTTTCCTACCAGTCTTATCCCCTTACTGTGTAAAGTTAATCCTCCTAAAAGACATTCTGTTTATCATGCTACTCTTATTCCCCTACTGGATATTTACAAATACTAGAAGTTCCAATGTAAACTTACTAGTATAGACCCACTATGTCTTGACATAATCCGCCCCCAGTTTTATCTCCTGCTCTTCTCCAGTGGATTCTACATTCAACAAAGGTTGGTCTCCTGACTATCTGCTCAACCCTCCCCATTCACCTTTGCTAATCCCTTCCTGCATTCCACTGGAATGCTAGCGCCACATCCAAGTCAAGGAATTATACTAATTTCTGTGTCTCTGGAGGGCAGAATCAGGATTAGGGGTCAGAGTTTAGAATTACTGCAGAAAATTAATAATGGCAGCAGTTGTATGAATTAGAAGAGTACTTTTATTACAGGAATAATGAATCCATTTATTATTTAACAATTATATAGCTAATTATAGGCAAGGTGGTATGTGCGTGTACTCATGTATATATGTATGTATATATACACATACATATATACACACATACATACACAATGCAGAATAAAAATTGATACTTTTTTTAACAAATGAATGAACTTTATGAATGATAATTTGATAAAGAACTTTGGAAGTCCAGGCAGAGAAAAGATCTTTTTCAGCTAAGAGGAAGAGGTAGCATCTGAGATGGACACCTCTCAAAGGCTGGTTCAAATAACACATAAAAGGTGCTTACAGAGAGCAAAAAGTAAGAGGATGATACCTGATTGTTTTCAGGGCTGAGTCGACCTCCTGTACCAGGAGTGCCTGGTATCTTTACCACTGTAGTGCTATTGGCCATGGAGCCTTGTGGAGGGGTGCTGGCTGGTTCTGGTTTTATGGATGAAAAATTGGAGAGGTTGATTAGGGCTGAGGGGCCAAACTGGTTCATAATCTGTCGAGCTTTGGACTTCAGCTCATAGAGCTTATCAAGATCCTGCTTCCTTTTGGAGCTGTGAGGACCAAGGCCAATCAACTGCAGATAGAAAACATGAGAATTAGCTCCAGAAGCACCTGTAATAAAGGATGAGTTCTGAAAGTAAAATTATATGTGGTCTTTGGTATATCTGGTGACCATTTGATACCTGCACATTAAAAAACAGATGGAATGAAGAATGTTCATTGCTCTCACCTGACATCTAGAAACCATCTCTTCTCCAAAAGCTAAAGTAAATAATCCACAAAGTGAAATAAGGAAGAAAGTGAATGAAATGAGGAATCTTGTGTACAAAAATAAACTAAAATGAGCAAAATATTTTTGAGCACTTTATAAAAACAGAATACTTGGTTAAGTACCACATGCATATTTTTGAGCATCAAATGTTAAATCCAAATAAATCATGGCACAATCACATACTTAAAACTCAGTCACAAAGCTTCAGAAAACAGATTAGTCTACTTTGGCATTTCAAAACATCCTTAAGTCTATGTCAGACTATGCCCAATGAACACAATTTCAGCAACTGTTAAAAGTAAGCTCTTTTTTACCATCAAAAGCAGTTTTTCTCTGAGTGTTAGCAATCTTTAAGTACGTGCAGAGTCCCTAGCCTGGAGGAGCTGGGACTCCTAAAACTTAAGAGTATGAGGTTGTCTCTTGGACATCAGCTTTGGTGTCATGAGGATCAGAAGCACATTCACCAAGTTCCGCCCACAGCGGCCTCAAGGAGCTTACTTACAGCTATCTGAGTGTCTAGATCTTTAATTACGTCAGCAACCGCTGTGAGCCCGGAGAAAGGAGAGGCAGCCATTTTCAAAAGCTACCTGTAAATGAATAACTGGCATCAAGCACCACCCTTGCTACAGAACCATTTCAGTTGCATGGTCTGGCACATCTTCACCAACCAGGACCCAGGCAAACTAGATGCAGAGAACTGTATCTCCTTGTCTCGACTGGGTGTCAAGAAAATCATCTCCATCTCTTTTATACACAACTTTTAAAATTAATGATAGCTGTGGTATGTATAGACTATCTTCCTATAATTTGTTCTATCATTAGAAATAAACTAGTAGCATACGAAACATTTTATTGAGCAAAATTGTGGAATTTGAACCTGCAAGAATCATGTCAATGGCCTTCAAAACTTGGTAAAGCTTAGCAACCTGAATGTGTATCTGTTTCTGTCCTATTCTTGCCCCTGTAGCGAAGCTCCTCCCCAACACACTGTCTAATGTTCCAATACAAACAATCATCTTCTCTTGAGTTATTCTCAATAAAAACAACTAACCATGCACTAGTTAAATGACCAAGAGCCAGCTGAGGGGGAAAGCACAGTATCGGAACACTTATTTATTTATTTAAATCACATGTAGCCCATACCGCCTTCTCCCCCACCCACAAATGTTACCAATGGGAGAGGAAAAAATTGTTAGGAAAGATTAACATGGTAATAATTATTGTAATGAAATAGAAGTAATCTCTTTTTCCAGAGCAAGTTCCATGAAGAAGGCTTATGAAAGATTATCAGACTGTACCCTAGTGTACAGCATTAACTGCCACCCTAGCCTCACAGTGAAAAATACCTGTCATGGTTTGAATTATGTCCCCCAAAAAATGTGTGTATCAGTTTGGCTGGGCCATGATTCCCAGAATTGTGTGGTTGGCCTCCATTTTGTGATTGTAATTTTATGTTAAAGAGGATTAGGGTGGGATTGTAATACCACCTTTACCCAGGTCACATCCAATGTAAAGGGAGTTTCCCTGGGGTGCGGCCTGCACCACCTTTTTTTATCTCTCAAGAGAGAAAAGGGAAGAAAGCAGAGAATTGGGGGACCTCACACCATTAAGAAAGCAGTGCAGGGAGCAGAGCGCGTCCTTTGGACCGGGGTCCCTGTGCCGAGAAGCTCCTAGTCTGAGGGAACACTGATGAGAAGGTTGAGAGAGAGAAAGCCTTCCCCTAGAGCTGACACCCTGAATTTGGACTTCTGGCCTACTTTACTCTAAGGAAATAAACTTCTCTTTGTTAAAACCATCCACTTGTGGTACTTCTGTTAGAGCAGCACTAGATAACTAAGACAATACCATACTTCTCAAATAACATCCTCACATCCTTCAAAGGACTTTGCAAATAGTACTGTATATTGCTCAAAATAAGTTGAGAATTAAAAAAAAAAAGGAGATTTCTGTATAATAAGAATCTCTGTAATAAGACCTGAGAAAAAGAAACAGCCTATATACACAGTGCCAAATATGGGTAATCACACATCAAATTAGGAATTAACCTTAAGGAATAGCTCCAATGGTAGTTGCTATATGAAGTAAGCGGAATTTCTACAGCATGAGAAAAATCAAAGTTTCTCCCTAAGAAACTAGACTGCGATTCACTGCAATCATTGGTCTTGCTGAAAAGCAAACAATACTTCTGAATTTTCAATAATTCTAAGTGAGTTACTTCTTCTTGTTAAAACAAAACAAAGCAGATGGATAATCAGACACCCATCATCAGACTGACATGACCCTAAGTTTCCTAGACTGTTCCTTTATAAGGCTGGATTGAAAACATTGGAACATATTTGGGTGGTGATTACGTGGGTTTATACAACCGTCAGGTACCCCTGGGTGGCACAATCGCTTAAGTGCTCAACTACTAATTGAAAAGTTGGTGGTTCAAACGCACCCAGAAGCGCCTCGGATGACAGCCTGGCGATCTGCTTCTGAAAGGTCACAGCCTTGAGAATCCTATGGAGCAGTTCTACTCGGCACACACTGGGTCACCATGAGTCGGAATCAATTTGACGGCAACTAACAACAACATACAACTTTCAAACTCAACACACTGAGCACTTAAAATCTGTGCACTTTAAAAAAATTGTACTGTGGTAAAATACATACGACAAAAAAGTTTGTCATTTTAACCATTTTTAAGTGTACAATTCAGTGACATCAATTACGTTTACCATGTTGTGCTACCAACACTATTCATTTCCAAGTTTTACGTCACCTCAAATGGAAACTCAGTACTGCTTCAGCAGTAACTCCCATTTTCTTCTCCTCCAGTCCCTGTAACCACTAAAAAATTTTGTGTCTGACTTATTTCATTCAGCATAATGCTTTCAAGGTTTATCCATGTCATAGCATGTATCAGAACTTCATTTCTCTTTATGGCTATACAACATTCCAAAAGATTAGCATCTAGAATACATAAAGAACTCTCAAAGCTTAACAGTAAAAAAAAAAAAAAAAAAAAAAA